GTGGTAGAGCGCTAGCCTTGAGCTGAAGAGCTGAGGGACAGCGCTCAGGCCCAGAGTTCAGGCCCCACGACTGGACCCAAAAAAATAAAAAAAACTTTCTTCCCTAAGAATTATCCCTCAGCGTTCTCAAAATGTTGGGTGTTTTCTCTCATATCACCTCATAATACCAGGCCTACAGATGGAAAAGTGGCTCAAGTTGTTGCTCACTATCATTTCAAATCATTACCCCACTTTCTTTCATTGCAACTTGCTTCCTAAAACACTCTGGGTTTAAAGCTTCTGCCTTTATGTATCATCTGCCACCCTGCCTGGTTATACATAGAGATTCCAGTATACTTTTCCTATTTTAAAAAAATTACTATCTTGTTCATTATTATTCTCTCTAGTATTATCACAGGAATAAACAGTGGTGGACATACTATCCACATATCCATACAAACCTTAACTCTACAATCTGGCTTCTCAATTCCTTGGCCTTCTCTTTTTCCAGTGGTTTATTCTCCCTCCACTGGTGACCACTGTCACAGTTTCTATCAATAATAGTATCCCATCTCCTTTTATTTCCAAGTATCTCATTATCCAACTACTACTCCAGACTCTAACAATTCTTTTTGTTCCATCATGATATATAATCCATTAACCCTATTAACTTGTGCAAACCCAGTCAGACCCAGCACTGGCTGAAAAATGCATTAAAAATAAAATAAAATATTTCACTAGTTGTTTCTAAGTACACTGACATTTTTTACCCATTAGGAAAAGAAACGATGAACTTAGAACTTTAAATATACAGCTCAAGGTCTGGGTAAAAGACCAGAAATTAACTACTTTAATAGATATGTCTAGTGACCACAGGAAACTGAATTACAATGTAAACTCAATTTATACCCTTATAGAGCATCTTATGTTAAAATTAAGACCTTGACTGGCAAGCAAGAAGACCCTGAAAACTGAAATGGAGACCTATGGGTAAAGTCTAATAAAGCTGAGTACCTGGAATCTCTAAATTTTCCCAAGCCTCCTTTGTCAATACAATACAATCGTCCTTTTTTTTTTTTAATTAGTAAACTTTTACCATATTTACTATTATTATTATTTTTTCCTTTTTTTGGTAGTATTTGAGTTTGAATTTGGGGCATTGAGCTTGTTAGCAGGTGCTCTATCCTTTGAGCCATACCCACAGTATACAAGCATCATTTTTTCAATGTCTGAGGAAATTATTACCTGAAGAGTACTATAAAGGCATTCCTTGAGACAGCTGCCTTGCAAGAACTGATGGCCTTCCTGGGGAACTATTTCTAAAACTTTTTATTATCTAGACACATAGCCAGTCTCAAATCCCAGAAAGTCCTAAAAGTTGGGTACTACATAACCTGTGCTGACATGTAGTACATATGAAAAGAACATCAAGTCTTAGCCAATTATGCTAATAGAAAACTGAGAAACATATATCCCACAATCCCTTTCCCTGTACAGTTGAAAAGAAGAGAAACATGTGCCATACTTAGAAAACAGAAGAAAAGCAGTAGCCATATATTCTAAAAGATTAGGGTAATCCGAAGAGAGGAAAAAGCAGCAATATTGGTAGATTTTTTCTTTATTCCATGTCACCACCCCAACTCCATATCCAGTTCTTACAAAATGCCAATTCTCCTGACCAATACCAACCTCAGCCTACTAGAAACTTGATTAAGAATTGACAGATATGGTCACTGTGTATACTGACTTCTACATCAATCTATCTTTGTTAAAAATTAAGACCTTAACCATTAAGCGTCTAAGCCATTTTTATGTCAGTACAGAACATCTGTGGCTTTGTACTATACAACATTAATTCTATCATTTTTGCAAGCCTTTTTAATAAGCATTTGTAAATTTTATGAAGATAAATATTAAGTAATTTTAGAAATTTCAAACAACCACCTCTAAATTGGAACACTCTAAGTTCCCTGGGGAAAAGAAATAAAAGTCTTTTTCATCCTAAAAGAAATTTAAAAGACTTACATCATTAGATTGAAACAATCGAGTCATTGCAAAGAAGGCTTCTGTAGCTTCCAGAGTTCCAAAGTGTTCACCCTGAGTAAAATTTAAAACAAATTTAAAACTTTAAAATGTAGTTGTTAAGGATCGTCCCTTTATTTCCGTAAAAAACGTTCAAACTATGGGAAATGTCTTGTTATAAACATTCTGTCTTTTGGTGGTGATTAGTCTGGCTTTCCATTTTAAATCCCAGATGGCCATTTATCCACTTATTTAAACTAATTCAGTATCACATAGCACACTTAAAAATTCTGGAACAGTAGTCTCTAAGCTTTTAGCAGAAACTGTTTATATTTCTCTGAAGAAGGACTTACAAGGAGGGAGAATATGACAGTAAGTGGTTTCTAATCAGAATAGGATAGTACTATTACAGCGCCTAAGTGTAAAGATCATACTTTATCCATTTCTACAACACCCAGCACAATGCTTGATGTATCATAAGAGCATAATAAATATTCAGCTGTAAAGTCATATCTCTGAGGATCAATAAGAAGCAAAACAAAAGAGAAGGACCCAGATTTATTAATAAGGTTTGAGTAGCTGCTACTTATCCCAAGCACTGTTCCAATTCCTCAAAAACATGGGCTGAGAGTTTCACACACCTTAATGTGATTAACAAGTCATTTGGGGATCTTGCAAATGTTGCTGAACTGGGAATTTTTTATTTATTTATTTATTTTTTGGTCAGTTGTACGGCTTGAATCAGGGCCTGGGTGCTGTCCTTGAGCTCTTATGTTCATGGCTAGTGGTCTATCACTTTGAGCCACAGCTCCACTTCTGGTTTTTGAATAGTTAATTATAGATAAGAGTCTCATGGGGGACTTTTCTACCCAGGCTGGCTTTGAACCACAATCCTCAGATCTCAGCCTCCTGAGTAGCTAAGATTACAGGCATAAGTCATCAGCACCCAACTGGGAATCATATTTTGTTGAATAATGTGGTGTTAGGTAACTTATTCACTAATATTCAAGACATTTCAGATCACAAACTACACAAAATATTACCATTTCAACAGTTTTAATTTCATTAAAAGCAATACTACATAAGTGCAGTCTCTTTTCAGAACTTCATATTTCATGTAAGTCCCCAACTTTTTAGTTGAAACTCAGTAAATATATGGCTCTCTCAACTGTAGTAGAAATTTAAAAATATTTTTCCATAAAGCCTACCATGATCTAGGGAGAAATAAAATGAATGTTGCCAAACTTGTTTGTGCAATTAATTATGCTTATGTTGTGCTTGATAATTTCCTTATAGTGTTTCAGCATGAAGTTCTCCATGTAAGTAATATTATTCAATATAAAGGGATATGCTGAGTCAACTTGGACTACTCAAAATTCTTTTTATATAATGGACCTAGACAATTTGGGCACAACATATACAAAGAAAGTTAAGACACACTGTATGACTTTAGTTTAAATATAATATACTACCACAAAGGAGTTAATGAGCTTATGGGCAGATATAGTCTATTTTAAATTATATGCTTTTTATTCAGTATCCATTTGCAAACCACAAAAAAATTATTAAATCTCTGGATTAGGTCATCAGCCACAAAACAGAAGAGAAAATGTTCTCTTAGGATTCTCTTAGAATTTGAAATTAGCCTTCTTGGAATCACATGTAAACCACTTGAAATATATGGCATATGTAAGCATGTGTGCACATACACATACAAGTGCATAAATGTAAAATCCATAAACAAAATATTTTATAAAGTTCTCTATATTCTGTGAATTTTTTCAGCCTGAATCAAAGATGGTTAAGGAAACACAAAAATAGCAACACTAATAAAACACAGAATCTACTTTATACTGTCCAGAACAGTACGTAAGACACAGTAAGTATGCAGTAAAATTTGCTAAAGTAACTGAGTGAAAACTATTCAAGATATATACTATGTCCAGCACTATTCTCACTATTTAATATGTATTATTTCATTATATTATTAAGCATTATAATCTCAGTACAGAAGAGGACACACAGGCCTATCATGGTTAAATTACCCAGATTCATGTTGCTAGAAACAGTGAAATATCTAAATAGTAAATCAAACTTAAAGCCATCACTGTTACATACAAAAAAGATAAAATCTCATAAGTTTATCCACCTGTGCACTATATTTTTGGAGAGTCATAAAAACCTCTAAATTCAAGATGCTGCAAAAATTGGGAGCACTAGAGTACAATGTAAATCGTATGTTCCAGCAAGTACATGTTAAATTCAAATCATGTTTATCAAGAATCTACTATTTGCTTATTTTAATACCTTATGAATCTAAAAAGAAATATATAACATATATTCTTGTGCTCAAGAAGAGTATGTTCCTATTATGATAAAATATCATGGATTTTAAAACTATGTGTATTTATAAATATACTTTCCAGAAAGTACTTCATTTCAGGTAATATTTCATTCTGGAACACATGTATGAAGAAAATCTAAATAACTTACCTGGTTGAGTAGGTAAAGAATCTTTGTAAGAATATGCAAGCATCTTCGGGGATTGATGGGAGTTTCATTGAATATACGAGCCTATGGAAATATTAAAAATATTCTTATAGTATATGCTTACCTTTTCTATCATAGGTCACACAAATTTATAATAAATATTTTAATACAATATCCAAATAATGTTACCTGTCTACAGTTCTGTTTACTATAATATACAATTGTCAAGTGTGGCTCTAATTCATTTTTTACATTAACTACTTCAGCTTTATGGGCTTTATCCATTAGAACCCCAATCTTTATCTACATCCCATGAGCACAGTGAGTTTAGTATTGTAACTTCTTCCGACAACCAGTACTAAACACATCCTCTGACATTTAAAATTCCTAACACAAAACACAGTGTCTGCATTTCTAAGTTTGAGGTCTTTCTATGACAAAGAAATATTCCTTTTTCCTCATCTATAGCCTCTGAACTCAATTGAATTACTTGTTTTTTTAATACATAAATGGAAAATGAATTTATTTACTTTTGAACAAAATTAGGGAGAGTGATTTGTTTTTGTCCAAGACTAGCACTAGAACTCTGCATCTGATATTTTCACCCATTGGCTGGCATTCTACCACCTGAGCTAATCCTCCAACCCCTGGGAGAATGAGTCTCAATCTTTCACCCTCTCCCCATAGCAGTGTCGACATTCTTAGTTTGTATTCCTTATCACAATATCCCAGTGGTTCTCTGCCTACTATTCTAAAACAGAACTAAAAAGAAAAAGCACAAACTATTTCCAACCATACCTCCTGTAAGACAGCGCTCTTCTCCAGATGCTGAAAAGGATTGGAACCACTACCTAAAGTACAAACAAAAGAACATCCTCAGAGCTGCCCTACAAAGACTAATTTTATAGAGAAGGGTAATGAATGCTTGGGAAAGCTCACCTAAGTGAGGTGATCATTTGGTGATCAATGGGATAATCATTACCAATATGCACACAAATGGAAGGAAACCCTTTTGATTCCGGTTATGAGTTCTGTCATCACTATACTATTAGATCTTGGGCTTCTGTTTGGCAGAAATCTTCCCCCAAATGAGTGTCTTTATTCTGACCTCTTTTTTTCCCCCGTGAATGTTACAAATACATAATTTTCACATATGACCTATTTAATTTTCAAATGTGTCATTTTTACAGTCACCAAAGAAAGATTCTCACAGAGCATTTTTTATTTCCCTCAAAGCAAGCCCTTCACGTCTCAACACTAAGAGGTAAAAATAAAGAGTTTCACAAGAGCTGAACAGTTCCCATGGTGGTCCACTAACCCAATCTCCACTGCACTTTGTGAGACCAGCTAACACTGAGCTTTCTCTCCTTTTTTATGTATTTATATCTTTTGAACTGGCTTGCCATCTTCCCCATGTGGACCACAGGTAGGTATCAAGACGCCAAGTCATTTCTGGAGGCCTGAGCATTCAATCAGCTGGGTCCCAGGAGGTGGTCTTGGCCCCTGGGAACAAACAAGAATCAAAGGCCCACCAGAAGACTAGACAACAGCATCAGACACTTAAAATGCACACACACAGCACACAGGGCCCGGACCCCAGGCCCGAGAACTAGGCGCTGCGGCCCGGGCCTCACCGCCCCTGCACCCCCTCCCCTCCGCCCCGGCCGCCGACACGTGCGCAGCGCTCCTCCGCCCCCCGTCAGGGGTCCTCGGGGAGGCGGTTCCGAGGGGCTCTGGAGAGGGCGGGGAGGGGGCGGG